TTTGCCAACAATCAATATTTACAGCTTCCCACCGCCCATTTCTAGTCTATCTTCCGAAGCACTGATAGTGTCTTGCTGGATCATGCTACAGATGAGTCCATCTTCCCACGAAATTCCTATTCTCCCTGAGCCAACCAGAGATTCCTTAAACGCGGGCTACCTTTGACCACACTAGGTACGTACTTGACTCGGACCAAACGGTGTCTATCCCCATTCCCCAGACCAATCTGAATGCATTGACAGCCCCGATCATAAGCTAGATACAAGGAGCGGGTCGACCTTGGACAGTCTAGAATCTTCAGGCGCGAGGGGGCTTAATGCTCATTAATCAGGCCAAACGTATGAGAGATCCTAGCCGGGAATCCAGTGTAGTATAGTTCCTATTGGTCCTATAACACATTCAGCTACGGTCAGAGCACCCAGCAAATACCCGGTGAACTCGCTTTTTGATCGGTATTGCAGCTACCGAAGGTAATGGGGAATAGATAGAAGTTTCTTCCAACGGTTTCCTGAATTTGCGGAATGATTTAAGAATCTTGGTTTTGCAGACATGAATTATTACTCATGTTTAAGTCTGATCGAAATTTAAATGAAAATACCCAGAGCGCAGCTCGCAGAAAAGAATCGCTAATAGCTTGAACTCCGGATACTCTTATCAAAAAGCATGGTCCCGTGCAGCATCTGCCAGCCCCGAAATGAGAGACTCCGACCGAGTCATTTGTGGCTTCTCGCCACCATCATCATGCAGATCCAAACCCTTGGCAACAAGGTCGGCGAAGTCTACACCGACTTCGGCCAAGGAGTCGGCATGCTCGTGTACAATATCGATGCATTTCTGCCAGACAGTCGTGCCTCGCTGTACGCTGCTGAGCTGCCGGGTGAGAAGGGCATTGAATCCGTCCAAGTGGTGTTTGGCCCACTTGATGCAGGCACTTGTCATAACAGCCGGGAAGCATTGCTGGTAGATGTTGATTGTGTTCTTGATCAAGGTGAAATAGACGTAGGAAACCTGGAATATATAGAGGGGGAGATCACCCTCGAAGACACATGCCCTATATCCCTCTCCATTAGTCCTAAATTCAAGCTTGGGGCCTTGGCGATAAAGACTTACCGGACCCGTTTGGAGATCACATCGGATCGAGCTTTCAAGTAAGCCTCCCGAGCCTGATCCTCAAAACCTAGACGAGTGAGCCAGGTAACGTTGGTCTTGGTGGCATTCAAGAACGAATGAGTGTCAGCCAATGCTCGTGATAAGACACTGGCCAGCTTTGCCGCGCGTTCATTGACCTTGCTGTTGATGATCTGCTGCGCAACTGAGTTCCCCTTCAAGCCCCTGGCTAATTTCCTAAGCCGCTCAATGCCAGAAACTGCTTCTTCGAAACGTTGAAGGGCGATATCGATGTCGAGTTCATCCACTTGCCCATCCACCCATCGAAGATTCTGCTGCTTTCCATCAACATCAATGCGAACTTCGGGCTTGTCGCGGGAAGCGTCTGAAGCATTGAGATCCGACTTTTGAGAAACGGAATGTCTGACGCCTGCATAGCCAAATCCATCAGTGGGCTTAGTCGCCGTGTCTGACTCGGACCGCAGTGTTCGCCGAAGGTCCTCCACCGCTTTTCGAAAAGTCGCAAGAAGCTCGCCCTTGTCGGAACTATCCCGCTTGTCGTGACGATACGTGAAAGTCTTTGAGCCTACTCGGACATTGATTGCGTTTGCAATGCCCCGCTCTTCGGCCTCTTCCCGGGCTGCCCCAGTGCCCATGTTGGCCCCGAGGTCAATCATGTCAACATCTTGCAGCGGCCAACACTCCTCGGCAACAAGTTTCGTCGGAACCGGCCCTCGATGGTTGGGGTTGCTTTGGTCAACCCGCTTTCGCTTTTTCGCAGCCACCAATAGATGGTCGCTCAGAAGCACGATGTGAACAGGGCGCCTAGGCTTCCACGTGGCCGAGTCCAGCTCGACCCACTGCCCTGTCTCCATCACAATATGCCGGCCTGGAGCTACAGGCAAGAACTTTTGCGATCCTTCCACCGTCTTCCATAGTGTTTGAAGCTGGACATTCCACATGCTTTCGAGATTGGCTACTGAACTGCGATTCGCGTTGCGCTTCGGTACCCAGTCATCCGCCGTCGGTGACATAGGATTGGGCGCATTTCCAATAGCTGTCTGGCCCAGAGCAGTGGTGAGTTCCGCCATCAGAGTTCGAAGCGTCCGCATCTCGCCTTTGAGCTTCTCCGCCTCCTTACTGATCTTGATGAACTGGGTGCGATTCTGGTACACATTCTGCTGAAGGTCGGTGGACGTTCTGTTTCTCACTTTCCGTAGATTGTTTTGATACTCTTCGATTTCTTCTTCCGTAGCATTGGCGAGCAGGTTTGCTACATCTACAAGTTGGCATGCCGGATTAGCCTACATGAGTTCTGCCCAGAACGGTAGCTAAGCTTCACAGCGACTCACATCTGTCTACCGGCAAACTTGGATCCCTCAATGCATTCAAATCAACTTGCGGCGGCCCGGAGGAGTCCGACGACGGCTTTTTGCTGGCTTCCGGAGGACCCAATCCGCCATAGTTGCTTGCCGCCGCAGGGAGACCAGGGACAGGGGGGGCGCTGGCATCGAATTCCGGAGCTTGATTGAATCGCGTCGAGTATCTCCGTTTTACTAGATCTGAGGTCGCGCCATTCGTAGGGATTCGCTCACGAGACACTGACTGAGAGATATTGTTTCCCTGGCCCGAATCGGTACTCTTGTTGTTAGGTGGAAGCGGTCCGGATATGGGCTTTGGAGCACTGATTTGAGGACGAGCACGGCGCGTTCTACTTCGGAGGGTCAACCCGCGACTCTCCATATTCGCGGACTGAAACGTTCAGTACGCGGTCAGATCGATTAGATAATAAGCTATGAAAAAACTGAGGAAAAGCGCAAGCTTTGCAACATGACGAGCTGATTGTCATAGGTAGCTGTCCCGTTGGGCGCTCAAGCGGGACAGAAACCCCGAGCTGGAACAACAATGATCCCGCGCTTCAAAATTATCGCGGCTGCCCGGTTACAAGCTCAAGACGGGCGTCACCAAAACTTCCAGTCGTCAAAGGGAATACCTTGCCATCCCTTGTTGGAACTACGAGAGGTTGCTTAATTCTCTTTTTACTTCTCCGATTGTATTCTATCCTTTTAAATTTAATTAAAACCCTCCTCTCTCCGCACCAACATGAAGACCTCAACTTTGGTGGCCGCTTCTGCCGGCACCATCTTGACTGGCCTCTTGGGTAAGTGCCGAGGAAATCCATCGACCGCATCTATTCCGATCAAAGTTGACTCATCCGCTAGCCTACGCCGTATACTTTGACCACAAGAGACAGACCGATCCGGAGTTCCGCAGAAGCTTGAAGAGAAACAACCGTCGACTTGCGCGTGCTGTGAAGGAGGAAGCAGAAGCCCAGGGTGCTATGCAGCGGGAAGCCATCAAGAAGGCTGTTCAGCAGGCCAAGGATGAAGGTTTCCCAACGGACTTGGAAGAGAAGGAGGCCTATTTCATGGGTCAAGTTGCTCGCGGAGAGTCTCTGTGTGCCGAAGGTATGATCAACATCTCAAGTCATCAGGGTCAACAACACGAAGTCCGCTCACACACCTTCGCATATAGGCTCCGACCAGATTGAAGCTGCCCTATGCTTCTACAAGGCTCTCAAGGTCTACCCTCAGCCCAAGGACCTGATCTCGATATATGACAAGACCGTCCCTAAGGATGTGTTGGAGATCTTGGCCGAAATGGTCGCCATGGACGCCGGTCTCAAATTGGGTTCTTTCACTGGCGAGGGTGGCAGTGCTGACAATCACGGCGTCGAATAAATGTCATAAGAAAGCAGCCCTCCACAGTACTTTACCCTCCGCGTCTCCGTCATTTCGCCTTTTCCCGCAATAGGAGTCTTGGCCTTTGTTTCTTGAGCTTCCGGTCCACGCTGGGCCGCGGCCTGGTCACTTCTCTAGACTGACCTATCTGATTCTCCAGTCATCAAATACCTCTCTCACGTGGCGCTCGCAACAATCTCCACTACTTGTGACCTTTCTTCATCCACCCCCTGTACATTTGCATTGTGTCTTGGTCGCCGATGTGGCGGACCATCTTGGTATTTCTCGGCGCCATGACTTTTCGTTCTATTTATGTGTATTTCTCCCCTTTCGCCTATCATCGGTCTCCTTGGCCCCGGCCCTGGCCAGACACCACATTTCGCTGGGTGGCTGAGCCCCGGTAGTTCCTCTGTCTCCGAATCCTCCGTTACGATGGGTCTGCTTTGGGTTGTATTTTAGAAGGATCAGTAGTTCTAGCAGGGTGAAAAAGACGGTCTTTGAAGAAAAAGCAAAATTCGGTTAGCTGTTGTTTTGTCTTTGAGGTTGTAACTCATTCGAATGAATGCAGCCAGATTCTACAGAGGACGACCTAAGAACATCCAAGACGAATTTGTATGGTGTCTGACTCTTTAGGATCATGGAAAGGCCCAATCCCAGTCTCTGTAACCCAGTCTGACCCTTGAAGTGAGACGCTGGCGCAGTGGATGCGCCGGACTACTGTTAGCGCCGCTTGGCTGCACTGTTTCACTCTCACGATGCTCCACTGTCCTTCATTGTGCCATTCGTGCCCAGCTTTTAGCCTTGATAAATCGTCTAATTTCACTCCTGGGCGCTGATAATTACTCTTGGCCCTATCTGTTTCCCAAATGAAGATCTTGCTCAGTCCTCTTCCCCTTACTACTCCCTTTTTCCCTTCTGTTCCTTCGTTCTCGAATCCTTTCTCCTTGTCGCGTTGGTTATATCTTTCAATCGCCACGATCTCTTCCTTCTGTTCTGTTTACACGCCTCCCTAACTTCAGTCATTCTTTTGAAGACCCTTGAACCCTTTAACTAAGCCCCTCTTTTTGCTCCGGCACTCCCTGTAAAAGGGTCCATCCAATCGTTCAGCACCTAATCCACATCGGGTCAATATTATTCTACCACGTTCAAACATGCTTCCGGTTCGTCACACATAAATTTCCAATAGTCTCATTATATCGTTCTTGCGCTGTTTGATCTCTTGGTTGATATACTGAGAATGATTCGCAGACTTACGTTCGACTTTTCACGGCAGTCTGCGCTCTCGCGACCACTGCCAGCGCCGTCGTTCCCATTGAGGTCAAGGGAAAGGACTTTGTGAACAGTGAAACCGGTGCTCGGTTCCAGATCTTGGGTGTCGAGTAAGAATTTACTCTCTGCGATGCTCGACCATTTGAAGGCGGAATTGTTGATTGTCCGTTCTCCTTTCCAACAGCTACCAGCCCGGCGGTTCCTCTGGCTTCACCAAGGACAAAGACCCTCTCAGCGATCCTGATGCATGCTTGCGGGACGCCGCTCTCATGCAGCGTTTGGGCGTAAGATTCACTGTTTTCCTGAGCAAATTTTAGTGCTTTACTTATGCGAAAACAGGTTAACACCATCCGTATCTACAACTTGTCGCCGAGTCTCAACCACGACGAGTGCGCATCCATCTTCAACGCAGCTGGTATCTACATGATCCTGGATGTCAACTCGCCTCTGTATGGCGGATACCTCGACAGAACCGACCCTGAAAGCACCTACAACGATGTCTATTTCCAGCAGGTCTTTGGTGTCGTCGAAGCGTTCAAGAACTTCCCCAACACCCTGGCCTTCTTCGCCGGAAACGAGGTCATCAACGAGCAGAGTGTCAAGCACGTTCCCACTTACGTCCGGGTATGTCATCCATCCCAACAACTTACGATTGCCTGTCCGCTGACACTTTCGTAGGCAATTCAGCGTGACATGAAGGATTACATCGCAAAGAACCTTAACCGCAGCATTCCTGTTGGCTACTCTGCTGCCGATATCCGTCCCATCCTCCTGGACACCCTCAACTACTTCATGTGCGCTGACGACGCCAATTCCCAATCGGACTTCTTCGGCCTCAACTCCTACTCGTGGTGCGGCAACTCGTCCTACACCAAGAGCGGCTACGATGTCCTCACCAAGGACTTCGCCGACGCCTCTATCCCCGTCTTCTTCTCCGAGTACGGCTGCAACGAAGTCCAGCCCCGTTACTTCACCGAAGTGGGGGCCCTCTACGGCCAGGAAATGACCCAGTCCTTCTCCGGCGGTCTCGTCTACGAATACACCCAGGAGGAGAACGACTACGGTCTCGTCCAGATCAACGACAACGGCACCGTCTCGCTCCTCGTCGACTATGATAACCTCATGGCGCAGTACAACAAGCTCGACATGACCCGCATCCAAGCCTCCAACACAACCCAGACCTCCGCCAAGCCCCCCAAGTGCGACTCCTCCCTCATCACCAACTCCACTTTCACCGACTCCTTCGATCTGCCCAAGAGACCCTCCAAGGTCCAGACTATGATCGACAAAGGCCTCTCCGACGCTAACACCGGCAAGCTCGTCGAGGTTAAGAGTACCGACATCAAGCAGAAGATCTACAACGCCAACGGCGAGGAGATCACCGGCATCAAGCTGAATATCCTGGCTAGCGGCGAGTCCAATACCCCCGGTGCTCACAGCTCCGGCTCTACTTCTGGCTCTTCCGGCTCCGGCAGCAGCTCGTCTTCCGGCTCTGACAAGGAGGGTGCCGCGGGCACGATTTCCGTGCCCTTCGTTGGCCTCCTGTCTGCGGCCTCGTTCATGGCGTTCTTCATGCTGTAATCGATTAATATTCTTGTCTCCTGGTTTGTATTCTTCCGCTAAATATTTGAGAACATTTTTGTCTTCGTCCAGGCGGTCCTGTAACCTCGCCGCTGCTTGGGGCTTTCAAACACAGTATATTCTTGTGCAGAACATATAGATCAAGCTCTGATATAGTTTGCTTATAAGACTTGGCTTTATTCTTGTCGCTAGACGCTTTGTTACCTGATATGGAAATTTCATGAATTCGATATTTGCTAGAAAATACTTGTGTAGAGAAAGGAAGGTCAGATTGACATTATGCTCGATGTGATCTTTCGGGTGATTATATGAATTTGAATACAGCCGAATGTATAACTGTTGATAGGGCATGGAGAAAATGCTCAAGATGATTTAGTCAAGTAAAGGATTAGTAAGGTCTATTGATTGAACGTAAAATGAACTCTGAATCAAGTCAGAAAACAAAACAACAAAAGCATGTTCATCTACAGAGCTCTTCCTTTGCCTTTGCCCTTGTCAGAGGCCGGTAAGAATGTACTCAGCGAAGGATATTCCTTGTCCTGCTGTCTCTCCGTTTGCCCAGCACTCTGGCTCTCCGCAAGACTCAACTGTATGGCAAGCTCCAGATCGTCAAGCTCTTGCTGGCGACTGCTTTCAGCACCAGCCAATTCGCATGGTGAGATGTCACCGTAGCTCGACTGAAACTTCTTTGAGTACTTAACGGAAAAAGGAGACTTTTCTTGGGAAGCTCCTTCGTCGAGCAAGCTCAGGCGGATAGCTTCAGCAATATCAGGTGCAAGATCATCATCGACGGTGTCCTGGCACGGAGAGGATGAGGACGAATAGTCGTCTGCTGCGACAGAACTATCATTGCGACCAATAGTGTCACTTGGAGAGGTGCTGACCACCGAGCTATCCACCGCTTCACCACGCTTGAGAGCTTCACTAGCGAAAGCTTCTTCGCTCAGTAATTGTGCGTAGGCGAGAAGCTGCTCCTCGCTGATGTCCGATCCCAATAGATCGATACCAAACCGGTTGCTGAGATACGCCCTTTCCTTCGCTTCGGCAACTTTCTGTCGTTCCATTTCCACCTTTTCGTCCTCTATGTACTCCTTGAGGGCTCCACGGCCACTGCTGCTGAATCGTTGACCCTCAGCAGTGATGTTGCTACCCCTGTGGCTGCGGCGAAGTCGACGCTTACTACTCTTGTATTGATCTGCACCCGAGGAGCTAAAAGCCCAGTACCGCAGGTGCGTTCCCAGAGCGACCATGCCTCTCAGCACAGTCGGATCTGGATCAAGGCATATGGCTCCACATGCAAAGAAGTTATTGCCAACTCCATGCATGGAGGCTTCTGCTTGCACTAAGCGGCGACGAGCTCTGGAAGAAAATCGTGAGTTGATTGTCCGAATAGGCCGTGTGGTAGACGCAAGAGGATCCCATGCTTGCACAAGTCCGTCGTTACCACCGTGCACCAAATATAAGGATGTCAGGGCAACACATGACACCTGTGGTGAGTCGGTTTGGATGATCCTGAGTGGCGACACGGAGTTGATAATATCGGTACTCTTGGCCGACGGCGCCCGTATATCCCATACGAACACCAGACCTGTGGCGGTACCAACAGCGAGGTATCGTCCTCGACTTCCAGGAACTTCAGGGTTCGAGGACGACTGCTTCATGTGCGGCAGTGGTGACGACATGGCCGAAGAGAAGCCCGAGCCACCAGACATCCCGAGTAGTGGATCCTCGTCAGCCGTCAGGACGGCATAAGTGGAAGAATCCAAGGCGCTTGTAGTAATTCGGACGGACTTTCGGTCGCCGAAGCCAAAGTCTGACATGCGCCATTCTGTGTTTGCAACCGAGCAGACGACTGTATCATTAAGGTAACTGGAAGTTCTGGATGGAGGCAGACTACTCGCGTCCGAAGCGGAGGATGGGATAGGTGTATGGCTAGGCCCACCAAAAAGAGATCGAGATGTAACATCACCAGTGATATGAGGAAGGGTTCCAGAAGCCGCTGGCAGATCGGACTTCAACATTGTTCTGGTGAACCTGCGAATCGAGGCTTTTTCACCTTCACCAGCGCCTCGAGCAATAACCATGATTGATTCACCAGCGCCAAGGCCGTCATCACCAGCAAAGTCGACTTTTAGATCGCGTCTCATATCCCAGCCCTCGCAAACCTTTCGGAAATGCTTGGGTCTGAATTTCAGAAAACGCTCAATCTCCTTGGTTTCAGCCGCTATCTGTTGTTCATCCAACTTCATCGAGTCCGACGACGACCTAGGGCTGTAGCTTCCATCGACAGGGTCCCTGTTGAACGGGTCTGGTCGTGCAGTCCGCTTGCTCAATTCTATGAGCTCCCATCGAACACTTCTACCAGTTTTCCAAGCAAGCCGATCAATTTCCTCCGCGCTCAACTTTGCTGCAATATCGGGTTGTCGAGGTATTTCTGTTAGGTAGAACACTTCTCCGAGAGCATTAAGAACCGTTGCCCATATCCTGCCACGAGAGGAGCGTTTCTTGGAATAGTTGTCATCAACAGCGATACCAATGATGGGGACTCCGGGGCAGATAGCCCATTTAGCCGTGACCTGGCCTCTCTCAAACCGCTTCTCATAAGTAGGATGAGGTCCGAGCGCATAGGCCGTAAGGATACCGACAGATGACCCAGATAGCATCCCAACCAAGCCTCCCGTCATCTTAAGGATGTGCGCGGACTTGGCGATCCAGACCGCAGTGATTGAAGTTGTCGCCGGGTTGAGCGCAGGGACGCCCTGTTGTGGTTGGGAACTTGATTCCACGAGCCCAAGGAAACGGCCGCGCTGCTCCGTAGTCGAGATGAAGTAACTGCGGCCTTGCGGACAACCTTCGCCATAGACCATGCCATATGGCTGACTGACGTCCATACAGTTGGGCTGCCCAACAAGGTCGCCGGATCCAAGGCCATATTCGGTATCGCCAGGGAACAAGTCCGCGAAATGCCGGAACATTTGATGATCGGACAGGCCCCATGTACCGACTTTGACCGTCGAAGGGTCGCTAGCAGATGCAATTCCCTGCTCCGACGCACCATGAATAAAATGCGGCTCCTTCTTGGCATCTTCTGCACCGAAAGAAGCACCGAGATGACTGACGGGGTACATAAGCTGTGAAGTGTAGGTGGCTACAGCGCTGCCATTACGTACATTGGCAGCTCGAACCGTACCATGTTTCTTGGAAGGTTCGAATTGAGCTGGCTTGCCCCTTGAAAGCGATCTTAACAAGCGGGTCCTCAGAATGTACTCGCTTCTCCACGAAGCTAGCGCAGTCAGTCTCGAGAAGTACCGCTTATTTGAAGCCACGTTATCCGAACCGTCCGCTGCAGAGAGACGAGCGCCATTTTCCACAGTGTACGGACCCGGGAAGTACCGGGAGAATGCGATTCTCCAGGCATGAGGGGTCGTGACCAAACTATAAAAGCGGCGGGACACAAGTGAGATGGACGATAATGATGGCGGTGGCAGATGAGAGAGAATGTGAGTCAGGACCTCTGCGCGTTCCAATCGTTAGCTCGTTGATCGCTAATCACTGAACTAGAACAATGATGACGTACCATTGGGTAAGGCTCCCAGAGATATGCGCTGCTGAGCATTGAAATTTGCTCTCTTGGAGCGAAAATCTGCTTGCTTGCTGGGAGACTGCGGGATGGCGTTCCTGTATTGACTGGCACCGCTGACAGCCGGCGATGAGTGAAGGAGCGGATCGGAACTCATCGTGTTCAAGGACGAGAGGCTGTCGTCCTCGAGGCCAGTGTTAGGGTCTCCGACTCCCTCATGAGGAAGACCGGAGTCCCGATGATTCTCTCCGCAAAGATCATGTCCATGCTGGGTGGGGTTGAAAGCGTCTCCGGATGGCGATTCTGCTGGGGAACTCGATTGGAGAACTGCAGATGGCTCTGATTGCATAAAAAGGTCTGGAAAGGTTGGAGGGACAATGTAGGCGACTGAACCAGCGGAATATCCTGGATCAGCCGGGATGATGGTTAGAGGGGAGCGACGAAGGGAATGCGGCAGAAATGATTCCTGAGATAGAACTCAAATGGAGGGTTGGAGGGAAAATCAAGGAATGAGTCAAGATTCAAGATTCGGATGGTCGATGGCGGGGGCAGACTTTCGCGTCCCGAGACACGTGACGCGGTCGCGCCTTGGAGGCAAATTGCTTTTTGGACCGCAATAACAGCATGAGAATTTCAAGGATAATATTCGGTGGACAAAATTATGTGCTCTTAGGTCGATTATATTAATCAGACTGAGATGGCAAGCCTTTCATGAATTCGCATCAAAAAAGATTGGCTGTGTTTGTTGTCTGCAGGCAGCACTCTCCAGGCATCTAAGCAACTGTCCTCCGTAGTTCACATTTAAGCTCTTGTTGCTCTCTGGTCCTTTGAAAAGTCCACAGTTACTCCTCCATTCCTGCATGCATGTGAGATTAGCACTCAGATTCGAATATGCCTGGCATCAGTGGTAAGCAGCGATTTATAAAAGCCATTCCAGCTCCATAAGCTGATTCGCATAGACGCGGAAACAATCCGCATCCTTGTATCGACCGACAACCATGTCGGTTACAACGAGCGAGATCCGATAAGGGGCGATGACAGCTGGAAGAGCTTCCATGAGGTGATGTGTCTGGCCAAAGAGCGAGACGTGGACATGGTACTCCTTGCTGGCGATCTTTTCCATGAGAACAAGCCGTCCCGAAAATCCATGTATCAGGTCATGCGATCTATCCGAATGAACTGCTTGGGTGACAAGCCTTGTGAGTTGGAGATGCTCAGTGATGCGAGTGAGAACTTTCAAGGGGCCTTCAACCACGTCAATTACGAAGATTTGGACATCAATGTTGCCATTCCGATTTTCTCAATCCACGGAAATCACGACGATCCGTCAGGCGAGGGTCATCTGGCAGCCTTGGATCTACTCCAGGTATCCGGGCTGTTAAATTACTACGGTAGAACACCGGAGTCCGATAACATCCAT